GAATTGTATTATAAAGTTGTGTATATTTACAGACTGTTGCAAAAACAAAGCAGCTTATAAACATGGTTTACAAAAAAGAAACACCATTAAAGATTTTTCGAGTTGTATTTATTTATTTTTTAATTCAAGAGATGCTGATTTGAAACTGTTGTTACGAAAATGTACGGCATTTCCTGTTTCAGCTGGAGAGAGGGGAGTTTGTCCCAAAGCTTGCTGCTTTTTGTACCCCCTCCACCTGGAAGAAGGGAGCCTCGTTAAACTGTGAGTGTCCCTACAGAGTTCACTCCATCACGGAGGGGGAGTGGGTAGGGTGTGGTTTGGAATTGGGCCTAACAGTGTTGTTCAAGCTGAAAGAGGAAATAGATGCAGCGAGGAGGAAGAAGCGAGAAAAAAAAAAGAGTCTGAAATCCGGAAGTAAGAGAAAGTCCTCCTCTGATGTGCAAATGCACTCCTCCATGCTGAATCCTTCATTGGATTATATGTGTGTTTTTTTTTTTTACCATTGGTATAAAGCACTTAGTTCTTCAAGAAGATTACAGACACGCCATTTTCGTAGTAGCATTGAATAAGGATCAGAATCAGAATCAGAATCAGAATACCTTTATTAGTCCCACAGAGGGGAAATTTGCATCGTTAGCAGGAAAGAGCCACAGACAGCTTAATGTTACCTATGTTAAGAAAAAAGTACTAAGTTATGATATAATAAAAAATATAATATAAAAAATAAAAGTAAAATAAAAATACTTTCCAAAATACAAATCCAGATATGGATCTAGTTGCAACTATAAGGGGACATTCTTAGACAAACATCATAACTAAGAGTTTTCTTATTCTACTAGGAAGCTTTTTGTATAGTGCCCTGATCCACTGGTTGTGGCATGAGAGAACCTGAGCATTGTCTTCATCCATCTCAAATACAGGTGATCATGTTGTTGGTGTGTGTCACATCTCTGACGCTGCTGGCCTTTACACCCCCTACAGGCACTCGGGAACATGACACACTAAAACAACAACCCCAGGGGAAAGCAGCTTTTCCACAGTAATGATGTATGCCTTTGACTCCCAGGGTAAATGACAACATATGGGTGCAAAACAGTTAATCGCTGGGTTGATAAAAGGGTCCATAAAGATCTCCTATTATACTGTTTTTCATCAATATATTATAAGTCTCAGATATATACAAAACATTAGGGTGGTCCTTAGTGCCATGTACATTTTCGAATTCATTTATTTTAAGCTCCAACCACCGGAATTTGTTATGATAGTCAAGAAAACTCTCCTGGTGAATTTTATTCAAATTCCAACAACATTTACCCCTCCCTCATCAACCTTGAAGTTTAGCCTCAGTAGGGTGGTCCTTAAAATTGAAAGTCGGAAAGTCTAAACTCCAACCCCCAGAATTCATTCTATTAGTCAAGACAATTCTCCTGGTGGATTTTTTCCTCAATCTGACAACATGTACCCCTCCCTCATCAACCTGGGCTGCCACACCAGCAGCCACAGTGCAACTGAGGCTAAACTTCAAGGTTGATGAGGGAGGGGTACATGTTGTCAGATTGAGGAAAGAATTCACCAGGAGAGTTTTCTTGACTAATAGAATGAATTCTGGGGGTTGGAGCTTAGACTTTCCGACTTTCAATTTTAAGGACCACCCTACAAAACATGTCTCTGAAGTGTTTGGCTCGAAATACCAAACAGATCATGCATTGTAGCATCCCATAATCCCCTGTTTCAGCCCTGTTTCAAAAGTGCTGATTCTCTGTCTTTTAGACTCCGTGTACACGGGAACGAACCGGGTGTTTTCGCTACAGTTTTATATGGTATGGACGGTTGGTTTACACAAGGACAGAACGGAACGGCGGAAACGGAGCCCTCAAACAATAGCGTGTCCCAAGGTGGGTAGATCTGCGGACGGAACGCTCTGGGGGGTCCAACGGCTCCGTGTGTACGTCCTATACGCCATAGCCCCACCTCTCCCCGCCTCTCCTCCTGTAAATCTAAATCTCTCCGGTCAAAATGTCGCTTATTGTTTAGGTGTCCTTTGACACGCAGGCAGTCATATCATTAGCTAGAACTAGCTAGATCTGATCGATATGGACATAAACGCGAGTGAAGTCTAATCGGACAGGAGAGAGAGATCAGAGATCAGCTGCTGCTGACGGAGACAGCAGGAGAGGGGGAGGAAAAGAGAGGCTCCGTGTATAGAGTCGTTATGAATTTGTTTTAAAGCTCAATAAATAACAAAGAAGACTTTTGACCGGCACTTTTCTAATTCTAAAGAGAAACAGCCAGAGCCCTTCCTCTCCGTCTCCCCACCTCTGCTGCTAAATCCACCGCGGAGAATAAACAGAAGGACAACCATGCTCGGGAAGTCTTCTTCGCTGCTTTTGGTGTATTTTGTGGCGGAAGTACAGTGCCACTTACAGGCCCGGCATATGTACTACAGCGTCTCCAGCGGGTCGAGCGGTCTCGTGTGAACGGACATGTTTATTGAGCCGACTGCGTGTGAATGGAAGACTTTTTTGATATCGAATTTGGTTCATTTTCGTTTGCATTCCCGTGTAAACTGAGTCTTACTTTAGATGAAAATAAGGTGCCACTCCCCACGCCCCTCAGAGATATTTGGTTAAAAAGAACACAAGGGTGCTCTACTGGAGGAATATAAAATAAAAACGAAACCATGATAACATTGTGAAGTTGTGTTGAAGTGTGATAACAAATCTAGGTGTTATTATTCTCAATCGCAAGCAGCGCACCATTTCTAAATATAGGTGTAGAATCAATAAGGACTATTTTAATACCTTTGCTCGCCTCATACCAGTGGTGTAACTATCGACGGTGCAGCCGGCCAGGGGCCCATATATATTTTTTAATATATAGGCTATATCTTTTTTTGGGGGGGGGCCCCAATGGCATTGACCACTTCACGCAGTCTTCAAAGTAACCAAGCAACCTAAATTAATTTGTAATTAGTCTGTCCAATGACCTTGCTCCCTTTCATGTCATGTGATACCTTGCGTGACGAGCTACCGTTTCATCAACCTCAAAAGTTATAGGTACTGTAGCTAGAAGCAGCAAGTTTGGCAGCATTATAAAAAATTGAATAGCTTGCATTTATAATGTAGGCCTACAGCAAACCAAAGCACAAGAGCGGCGCTCAAAAGAGAAAGGACAAGAGAGAACAAGGAGATGTAACGGCTAAACTGACAAAATTAGACAGTTTTCTTTGTCATACATCTTCCTCAAAATCTCGATTAATTCTGTAAAGTGATTGTGTGATTAGTTCGCTTTTAGTTGAATAAAGCAGGCTGAAAGCAAACTGGTTTTCTTTCCGTTTTATTACTCTTGTTTACACACAAAAATAATCCTCTGCAGTTTAAACAGAAATCAAACGGTGCTGCTTACATCTACACGACGTGTGTGTGAAGCAGTCTCCACACAGGACCTCAGCTGGAAGCCGGATGTAACCTTCTCAAGTTTGGTGATTTTAGGCGGAGCAGGCATGGTGATGGTACGCTTGAAATAGCAGCGACGCCTAGAACACACAATCAACACAATCTCAGTTATGCACCATAAATACAGCTGTAATCAAATTATAAAGTGTGTTACAATGAGGATTTAATGTTAAAAGATTACCTCAATTGTATTTTTAAAATACAAAATGTGTTTCTCTGTACTTTTGCATGCATGCATTAAGACTATTCTGTACCAGTAATCTCGGCCATTGAAGGCTTCAGTGAGGTAGTCGTAGAACTGGCAGAGAGGATCCTCAGTACATTTCCTCTGACAGGAGTCTGCATCGTCCATCAGCTCAGAGCGGATATCAGAACCATGGAGAGTCACTCCATCGTGAGCAACCTTAAGCCAATCTGTAAGTAGAGAGAACCAGGGTTAAACTTCTACTGCAGGCTAAACCACATAAATACATACATTTTGATTATTTTTTAGTCCCACAGAGGGAACTAATAAATGTATGCCCATACTGTATTACTCTATTTCTTCAAACAGGGGTGCCTGTATGCAACACAATGACTATCTAACTAAATACATTTACTGAAGTACAATACATAAGTACTATTTATACATGATTGTACTTTACATGAGCATTTACATGTAATGTTACTTACATTTTGAAGACAAATATAGACTTTTTACATTTATTTAACACTTGTAGTTACTTTTGAGATATTGTGATACACTTATGATTATAAAACGGACAAGTCAAATCAAGCAATCTGATTGGTTCTTAGCCGTGATATACTGAGCGTATACCACGGGTAGAATTGTAAATTACTTTTCACAACAAGTCAGTATCCCTCCGCATCTGAGAAAAACAGTATACAGTTGGGCTGAAAAGCAAACTGCTTCGCGTCGGGCCGAACCACGCCCCTTAACTGTGATATAATGGCCATATACCACGGCCTGTCGTGAGCTATTGCTTAAGTATACTGGGTTGTTCTTATATATTAGCAGTGCTCCATATTATGTTATAAGTATGTAAACTAGGCTCCCCATGCATATTTTGAGTACAGCTTGCTGATAATCTGTACTTCTACTTTGAATTCTGGCATAAGCACCACATTCAACCCCTGTTCAAACCATCTACATTTCACACTATCTACATTCAATTGTTTGAATGAGTCCATCATCAAACCAAAGCTATTGCAGATGGTCTAGGTGTTGCACTGAAAGCTTTCCCTATCTGACAGTTTTAGTGTTGATCAGTGATACATACTCTCATCCAGCTGACAGAAGCGTTCAGGAAAACCAGTTGTGGATCCTTCTTTAGATATTGTCTCCATTTTGTCTTTGTTGTTCTTCAGGTGACATTTCAATTCATTACTGCATGAAAGAAAGCAAATAAAACCCTTAATAAAATAAAAAAATCATCAGAGAGGAGAGTTAGGATACTTTCTAAAACAACACATTGGCTAGTAATAATAGACACTCTATGATACCTCATTGCATGTTCTTATGGATACATAGGAAAGAAGAAACACCTGTCGAAAGAGAAGAAGGTGCAGGCTGGATGAGCAGAGCACAACGCCCGACAGTGATCAGGACAGACACCAGGAAGAGTCTTCAGGTTGCTTTGCGGGACGCTTATGGATGGAAAAAGCTTGCCCTCACATGCTGTAAGAAACACGAGAAACACATTAAAAAAACATGCTTAGAAACGTACAGGACGTTTACCTAATGGTTTTGATATGACTGCTTGTGTACCTGTGGTAGACTGTTGAGGCAGACGCACGTTTTGGGAGAATCCAGATACTACACCAGTCTCTCTTCTCACAGTCAGAGGAGCTGGTATTGACGGGCTATATTTAAGGTAGCACTTGAACCTAAAACAACACATGAAAAAACATATTTAGGGCATTGTAGAGCCTATCACATGTGGCCAACCTTCTGGTGCAAGAGCAAACTCTTCACTCTGTTACCATCCTGATATCATTATCACAAGATTGTGTATAAGAAGTGGACATAGTCAGCTGGACGTCACCCACCACTGGTTTGTGGGCTACGGTTTTTGAAGCCATAGCCTTTCTGGCCGTTTAAAGGTAGGGTAGGTAATTCACTTCAGAAACACTTTTTGTTATATTCCATGGAATGCTCTTAACATCCCGATAGCAATGAATACATTAAATGCTTTGACAAGAAATACATAAAAAAATGTCATCTGTGGAAGCCGTGGTGCTGTAAAAAGCACGACCAATCATCTGAGCCGGCCCGGCTAAAATAACTGGATGGCCAACCTGCCTGTCAGCATACTTGCCAAACAGTGGCGTTTTCTCCTGGAGGCCAAGGGAAGCCAGGCTTCCCCTGTCTCCGACGCTGCAGCTTCATACTCAAGGCTCAAGGTTGGCAAGTATGCCTTCCATCTCTTGCACAAACGTATCTCGTGCCCTCATTGGTCATGTGCGCGTTCGTGTGTGTTGGAGGAAGGGCTCTGTAAGGAAGTCTGAAGGAAGGGGCAGATTTTTTCCGGTTGTGTACTTTCAAATTCTAGCTTACTCGAGCTGGTTTCTCCATTCTTGCCTACCCTACCTTTAAGAGCATGGTTTAAGGCACTTTTCTACAGCAATGTTACATTATGTGATCCCGGTTTACCTGATATTCTCTGTTCCAAAGTCTTCATGTAAAAAAGTAAAGAACTGACAGCCAGGGTCTTGAGTGCAGGCTCTCTGGCACTCCTCATGGTCCGCTGTGAACAAAGCAGTGTAGTCGGCCCCGAAGAAGTCCACACCGGGGTACACATTAGGCAGACAAGGCTCTGGCAGGCAGAGACAGAGAGTAAATGAGTGTTATCGCATACTGTATAGCTTATTAACTAATGCTCTTCATATTGGTTATACACTGTTGTTGTGAGCTTACGTAATTCTGGGGTGCAGGCTTTGAGAGAAAACCCAGAGGTGACGCCCTTTAATGGTTTCTGAACTGGAACATTTCCAGAAGTAGTGGTCTTTAGGTAGCAGTAGTAGAAATGGCTGCAGAGATTATTGGGTCTTTTTACTTAAAACCTTTAAAAATCCAACAGACACCAATGATAGTAAAAATAACTAGTACCCACAAAACTTACCCAATTAGCAAATAGAGCCGTTTTTAAAGACAATACCTCTAATGTAGGGCTGTGAAAGAGCTAATACAATAATCTGCATGTTTGTTTTTTCATTTACATTGAGTTTAGCATTGAGTTTAGAAAAAAAGCTTGAAATGGATACAAAGGTTGGGTTTGAATTATTGGTCAAATGTTCCAGTTTCTGAGGTAAAAATGATTCTCACTGTTTTCTGAAAGAGAAGTCAAAATGCACAGGAAAATAAAACTTACTAATGTATTTCTAATTACTTGTGTACTGCTTGTCATACCTCAAATCTTTTGTCCAGTCAGGGCGTATGAAGGTAAAGAAGAGACAGGAAGGGTGCTGGGTGCAAAGCTGCTGACAGTGGTCAGCATCTGGAGAGTATTCAAATTTGATGTCCATTCCTGGGAAATCCACATTCTCCAGAAGCTGTGTGTTACAAACTAAAGAAATGTACATACATAGTTAATACATTCTGCCACACATAAATAGTCAAATTACAATATATATAATGTAGCGTAATTACCTTGACTTAAGGAGAGGCTGCAGAGAGACAGCAGACCAACCAAAATCAAATGTGTTTCCATCTTCTCAGTTTGGAAACCAATACAGATTCTTGAAGCACAACTGCAGTGAAACAGCTGTTTCTGCAACTGCAGTAATCATCCAAGTTGCAAATTAACTAAAGGCTGTTCACGAACTATGAACCTTTAAGTCTATTAGCCTTTTCAAAGTCCAGAATCACTATCAAATGTAACAGAGTTCTGTTTACTTTTCCTCAGTTGACCTTATCCTTACTTTTTTTTTACAATTTAAAGTAAATGTGATTTTGCTGTTTTATAATTAGTATGCTTTTTTTTGTTATGGCATGCAGAACCCTGCCACATGTTATGCTTAAGCAGCAAGTTTTAAAATGTGTTTTATGTTTGTTTCCATATAACTGCAGTGAAATAGTTTGTTTTGCAACTGTACTTTGGCCAAAGGGTTGTTTAGTAGGCTAATCATCAAAATTGCAAATCATTGATTTTAAAGTCAGTCTTTTATAAAATGTTGCCCTGAAAGTCTATTAGCTTTTTTTATATTGTGAAGACTAACTAAAAGCCTCACAACAGATAACACACCTTAAATGACATCCTTTCTGTCACTGTTTAACACCACACACACAAACAGACACTTTAACACACTTTATTTTACTGGACTGAGTGCAAACAATCTGGTCAAATTAGTAATTGTAAAGTTTTAACCCGGTTCTTGTCAGTGTCTTGCAGCTCACCTTCTTCCCGCCAAAGGCCTGAGCTGCTGAATCGCACCTGTCTATGTAGATCTGTGGCTGATTGGACTGTGCCATTTCCTTAAAACCCAAGGGGTGTTCACAGAGCTTCTTCATCCAAGCTACCACTTCTTTAGAGCAATGTCTTTGAATCAACTATGGACTGGGTTATACATTCCTGCAGTTGGGACAAATAGGCAGTGGCTCTTGGTCAGTGGTCAAAAATTGTTTAAAGATTCTGTGTACATTAATTTATGCTTTTGGTTCATTGATTGAACTCAACATGTAACATTGCCGAGTTCACAATATGTAAATGTTTACTTTTGCTCAGTTGACCTAAAAAGATTAAAAAGGACTTTGAGCATAGCCAAAGACAAACTATGTTATTATTGGGTGCTCACATTTAAAACCAATACTTTGACCTCAGTATATAGTCAACATTTTTCTAAAAACAAAAAACGCCATAAAAAGCGATAGGAGTCTATCGACGTTTTTAAATGAAAACATTGAAGGTTCATAATCTTTTTACAGTGTGTTGCCACCTCGGGACATAGCCTACAGGGAAAGACAGAAACTCTGCAGGGTCAGGCAGCTAAATGCAAAGCCAAGTCAAAGGACTGTAAAAGCAGCAGTTGTTTATTTGGGTTTAGCGCCATCTGCTGTCAAACCTTCAAACTTCCAGTGAGACACTAGATTTAATATGGTCAAATATCTTTGTGTAGAAACATACTATAGCTCCCCGAGACACAGACCTCTGTAAAACATATTCCAGTCAAACATGGGCATCAAGTTGGATCCGTGTAAACTGACCTTGAATGAATAATAAAAGCACAGAAACTTTCAACAATCAATTTTTTATTGTTTTCGTTATAAGCACAACAACAGTATCCACAGTTTAAGTCAAGCACATTATGTAAAGGCATAACAACAGTAGGAGCAATGCACATTTCCTAAAAATGCAGCCAGCTAGATAAGTGCAAGGCAAGGAGTGGTGACAAATCTCAGTCTCAAATGTCTTTCAGGAGGTCCTGTCCTGGGCTCTCCAGCCAGGTCGGAGGCCAGGAGGTTTTGATGCTGGATCTGTCCTTCAGAGAGTTATAGTAAGCTGCCAGTTTAGGGTAACGCTCTTCACAAAACCTAAAGAAGGAATACAAGATGGCGTTAACTTCAAATTACAGATGTTTTCTCTTTGTATGGTATACTTGGTTATCCATGCATTCATATTGTCAAGCAGTTTTAAGTCATTTTCAGTGATTTAATGCACATACCCAAAGCGGTAGAGATAAGCGACGCTTGGAAAAACCATCACATCCGCCAGTGAAAAGTTATTTCCTGCCACAAAAGGGCCTGATGCCTAGAAAACAAATTAAAAAAGGAGTTAGGGAAAGATTAATGTGCTGAAGGGCAGATCTGAAACTGATACTCATGAAAGCTGCCAAAAAGGGCTACCTATTTGATCCAATTACCCTTAGCTTCATAGCATAGAGAATTGTAGCCTAACAACAACAAACAGCTAGCCTGGCTCTATCCACAGGCCCCTAAATGTAACAACCAGCATCTCTAAAGCTTAGCTATTAGCATGTATAATCAGTAAAGTTATAGCAAGACGATGTAGGGTTACTGGTGGGTGCTTGACTATTAATTCGCTAGAAGCAGTGACTTCCTGGTTGCCTGTCTATTTAGTTATTTAATGGATTTTTGTTTACCGAATATTGAAACTACTCTAATGTCAAGATACTATGAAGCTGGAGCCAGTTAGCTTAGCTTAACTGGAAGCAGTGGGGAACAGCTAGCATGGCTGAACCACATATTCTTAGTTTTACAATTTGATCTAGGGGTGTGCGATTATGGCAAAAATCATAATCACGATTATTTGGGTAAATAATTGATATCACGATTATTAAATACGATTATTCATTGACTTTGAAAAAATCCATTTATTGAACTTTATAACAAATAATAATTTGAACAGTATCTTTATAACTGTTGTTTTCCCTGAACGTATAATTCAACTGAAAAACCAATAAATAAAATAGATACATTTAAATAAATAATATCAAAATAATAAATACCAATAAACAAGATCAACAAATATTTTGGAGCGCACTTCCCCAAGCTACTAAACATATATAAATATGATAAATACAAATAAATGAGACCAAATAAAATAGATCAAATATGTTGCAGTGCACTGTCACAACCAAGCAAAGCTAAATAATTGTTTTTTTCGATTATGTTGTTTTCGTAATTGTGGCAGGCCAAAATCGTAATTGCGATTAATTGCACAGCCCTAATTTGATCTGAATATATATATATATATATATATATATATATATATAGTGTTAATTAACAATCATTAGAGGTGGAGGTCGTTGTTTATTTTACATTTGAACAGGAACAAGTGACCTTTTTCCCTATGCGTTTACTCTTTTTGCTAAGCTAACCATTTGCTCCTGGTATTAGGATGGGTTAAAGGCAGAGAACACATTTCACTGTGTGTGCCGTGTGCTCTGCATGTGCCCATTTAATGACCATTAAAGAGGGTTTCATCCCTCCAATTCTCTATTCTCTCTCTGCTGTTGATGGTATGAATCCATCTTCAAAATGTTGCTGCTGCTCGAACAAAGCAACATTCCTTGCATTCAACATGTAATTTAGTTTGTTTTAACAAAGCTGAGCATGTGTAACTTCTCCTCTGCCGTTCTGTATCTTTTGTCATGTGTGTTTGAGTGTACAGTATGTATGTATTCACCTTCTGCATGTATCCCTCCCACAGCTTGATCTCAGCAGTCAGGGCCTCCTTGTTTCTCTTCAGAGCAGAGTCGTGTCTCTCTGCCTCCGGGACCTTCCAGTTGTAGTAGATAACGTCAGCTGAAAAATGTAAAAACAGGCATTCAGTCGTGAGGACGGCTCTCGGACGTATGAGCGATAACAATAATGTTTAAACAAACACTCATTGTGCAAACATCCACTCCCAGATTGTGATTGTTTTCCTGTCCCATGGCAGCTAAAGGTGGCGTGAGGACATGATTACGCAACATCAATTTCAAACTGTAAAAAAGTCAGAAATAAAGTTTGCAGCAGCCCACTTATACAGCACTATACTCACTAAACTGTATTTACCATGTATGCCCAACTTGATTGTAAATTATTAGGAGTGCAGCTTCCTTTATTTTGCACCCCTCCCCCAAAACTGAATGTCTCGTGACTTGATCTCTGAGTCTGCATGCAAGCCAGTCTGAACATGTGATCCTTTGTAGGATTACTATTATGACCTCTTCGCTCTTTTAAAAAAGGGGTGCACCACATACAATGGCTACATTTTGTGAATACGCAGCTCATTAGTCAGGTCCTTTGGGTGGGGGCTTCATTGAAGTTGAGCTCCCTCGGAGATTCACTGAAGACATGAAGTCTCAGAGGTCTGAAGGCCACAGAGCACAGGGTTTATTGCCAAGAGCAATCCAGTTCAAAGTCCCATAAGGCACCACTCTAACTACATCAGGTAAGTCATAAAGATATGACTGAGAGAGCAGTATCAGCCTGGTTAGACATTAAACTAAGTCCAATTGGCTCAAATGTAATGGCAATGTATTATTGTTATTATACATTTGCAGGATTTGCAGGGTCAATTGTCTGCTTTGCATGTCAGGATCAACATACCCATTTTCTGGCCGAGCGTGTTAGCCTCAAACATGCGCTGGTACATCATGGCCTTCTCAGCTGGGCACTCAGGGATCAGCTTGTTGCCCTGGGATTGGTACTGGCTCTGTTGTTGGAGACATTGAAAGAACAACCATTATGATCATAGCTGCAAGGCGCTCCGGTTTCTCTCCGTCTGGAGGTATAAGGTGACTCTTTGTCTTCGAGGCATTGTTGAACACTGCACAAGGGACCCTTCCTACATGTTAACTCCTTGGTGTTATATGTCTTCATAAAAAATTAAGTAGGGGTGCAAGATGAACAATGGGACCAGTTTCTTACCTCCAGGTAAAAGCAGGCAGCGTAGGACTCATTCAGGACATGATTGTTGTGTTTGAAGGCAGGAAGCTGAGAGAAAGAGTGGAAAAAATACATCGTTATTAAAAAAATTAATACAGTGGGCATGCAAGAAAAAGAAGACTGACACTATAGGAGAATGTGCATTATCTCTGGGTAATGTTTAGTAAACGTACCTGTCCCCTGGGGTTAATTTCCATGACTTGACTTGACTTGTGCTCCCCTTTCTCAAAGGAGAGCAGTTTCTGGTTGTATCCCTTCAGGTTCTTCTCCTCCAGAACGATCATCACCCTCCAGCAGGGGGGAGAGCCGGAGCCCCACAGCAGAGTCATTTCCTTGGCCATGGTTTAAGAGTTGACTGCAACACCTGACGCTGAGAGTGGAGGGAGAAGTTGTATGTGGAGTGTGTCAGATGCATGCTTATATAACAAGCTCCACTCCTTTGCATCCATTGGTGGAGTTATGGCCCATCCCATTTTTGTGTTATCACCAAAGATCTGCGACTCAAGAAAGTTAAGATGACTCATGCTGCTAAGATGCTCCAAGTATGTTAACCTGTTAAGTCAATACAACGTGATGTCATATTATAATATTGCATATTTCAGTAGCTGCATTAAACTAATGTAATGTGGGTCATGCTTTAAGTTAATTATATTCACAGGCATTAGTAAAGTCACATATGAGGAGGGGACACTTCTCTTGCTTGCCTGACTACTCTTTGATCCCAGTTTTGCAGACGTGACAATGACATGATGGAAAAAAAGGAAAGAAAAACTTGAATCAAACACTGAAATAATAACAATAGACGTTGTGCACCTATAACACCTATAAACTGGAAATGTAATTTACAATAGCCATAGTCAGTGAACTTAGTATGTTCTAATAAAAAGTAATTGTACTAGCATTCTAGCAAGCATTACTTAAAATAGTAAATAATAAAATATAATCTTGGTTCATTGTTATTGTTTTATTCTTGCAGTGATTTACTTCTCTTCTACCCATAGTGCTCGTTTCATCATCCTGAAATTTGACTGTTGAAATCTCATGGTGACTCAGCACTTTTCACTCAGCCCTGCACGCACGGAGGAAACCGGCTCAGGCACTTTATCTAATCTAAACAATGAAGTCGCTACTGGATGAAAACACAGCACCTGTTCAAATTAACCCTACATTTGAGTGTGCTATCAAAAGAGAGCGCCCACTGTTCACATTTTCACATAATATGCAGATTGTTTGTGCCTCTTTCTCTGAGCCAGTCTTTGAACTCTAAACAGTGTGGACTTGCCAGTATATCAACACATTGTTCATGACATGAGTCATATATTTAAACATTTGGAAATCACTATCTCCACCAGTTTGGTCTGAACATGGCCTGCATTCACAAGATAACTTGTTGCATGAGAGAAATTTGCACAAAAATCCCTACCATCATGTGACAGCATCCGTTTCTCCATATGTCATGAGGGCATGTGTGTGACTTTGAGTGAGTGCACTGGTGACATTCCAACTTTTCATATCGTTTCATCTTATTTGTAAAATTATTGACAATGACATTTCTTCTTCAGTATGCAGGTTGTCTTTCTTGTGTGTGCATGTGTCAGCTCCTTCTCATCATTTTGCTTTGCTAGCATGACAAAGTTTCTTTAGAAAAAACACACCCAGAGTAATAATAAAGGGAATGGTGTTTACAATACAACCGTTTTATATGTGGTAATGCACAATGGTTCTGCTCTACATTTAACTACATGTAGAACACTTTTAATATGTTGGCTTGTGTCCTGTGTACACATGCCATAGAGACGACTGATCCCACTCTGTACAAAGGATAAATAAATGAGTGGTTGTAGTAGCCTCTCTACTGGGTAAGTGCACCGTGTTTTAGGTTTGGAAGGAGACATTTTTCAAATACAATAACCGCAAACACGACAACACACGTGAAGCCAGTCATTTGCAAAGTTATTTTGCCAATATATGTATATATTCTTCTCATGGACATGAAAAACTAGAATAACAGCCTCGTGGTGGTATGCTAGTGAACGTTCGTTCCAAAGAGATTCCCTCAAGGCGTTCCTGATATTGCTTTCATGAGATTGGGATGAATGGATCGACGGCCACAGTTGACACAGAGGCATTATAGAGAAGATCAAACAGGTCCCAAGCAAATACCATCATGCACGGCGCAATACATGGAGAAGAGGTGCAGGAAGGCCAAGAGGAGAATGGAGACATAAAGAGGTGTCCGGGTGGTGGAGTGCATGAGATTGGCGGCTGATTGGGATGTTTGGAGAGGATTGTGATGTCATCAAAGTGCCCAAACAGCCCTCGGCCTACGGGATTGACCTGACCTGAATTTAAGTCAGAAAATGTGTCCTCATGCCGGATTTATTTTCTGTTGTGGGCTGAATATCAGCAATATTCATTATCAATGAAGAGTGGCAGTGTCTTTAGACTTTTAAAGGAAACTAGGATACTGATTCATGTGTTACTCTTTTCACTTTGGTTTCCAAACACTGATCCTACAATGGCAAATAAAGACTTCAGATCAGATAAATGTTTACACATATTACCAGAGTATTTCTTTTGTTCTCACAACCAGAAGCATGCAGTGCATCATGTCGCAGAGGCAGCAGAGTAGGCTGGAGCCAGTAAAGTTATTTTATCAGTTTTAAATAAAATGACAAAGCTGATAACAGAGGAAGCTCTGATCCCCAGCTGCTGTTCCTGTGGTAGAGTTTTCAGGACCTGAAACAAAGTTTATAAGCAAATAAAAACCACTCAACAAAAAAGAGGCACAACTATGTTTTTTTTAAGGTGTGCACTTTACATAAGTGATATCATTTGGATTTTATGCAAACGATTTAATATCTTGTATGCAAAGTCATGGTAACACAGCATTTCACTCTCCTTTGTTCAGAGCGTGGGCAATGAAATAAACTGGGTCATGGTTTTATAGACGCGGCCTAATTTATTTATTGATGTGTGAGATCAAATAACTATTCCAGACTTGACCTTGGACAGTGGTATTTATTGGGTTAATCCAATGTTCAGCAAAAGTAAGGTTTAAACATTAATACATCACATCTCCAGCAGTCACATATTGGTTTTTATTTTTCCCAGTGGAATTGTAGAGCCAATATATGGGTTTAAATTGCATTGCATACAAACAGCATGCAAGACATGTTAGTTTTAGTGGAGGATATTTAGTGCAAAATTGGTAGAAACCCAATCAACCTAAAGAACTAGCTTCATAAGCAAAAATGCATTAAAGTACTCTTATAGTGGCGTGTAAAGGCATTAGTAAACTGATATTGATGTTAGTCAAACACACCTTCTAACTTGGCAACAAACAACGCTAAATAATATCCAAATGATGAATGGTGAAGGACTTACCCTGCAAACATAACATTTTGCAGTTTAAATTAATACTTCAAGGCCAACATTTGCCATTTTTATCAATATCTGATCCTGTTTTACCTTAAATTCACAAACAAACATTGTTTTTCTTGCATTGCATGGCTGATCCGAGGTGGATTACATTGAACAAGCCCCCATTTACTTCAATGAATTCAACATTTTCCCAGATTTTAGATTTTGCGTTCATTGTGACAAGAAAATAAGTTATATTCAAGAATTCAAGGTAGCACAGGGTGAGTAACTGAAAAATTGCTTATTATTTTAATATAGCCTGTGTTTACCAACTGATTTGTTGTCCAAGATTTAATAGAAACACAGCCTTTTAATGAAATATAATTGCTAAATTAACAAAAAAAAATGTCTGCTCTTGGAACAATGATATATTTGGAACATACTAATCTTTTATCGTAACCTCAACACGGTTTCTTTTCTGAAAAATGAAAGGGTTGTCTTGCAAAAAGCAAAAGCATCACAAGCAGACGTGACTGTGGAGTGTGTGTGTGAGGGTCTCAGATGTCTTTCAGTGAGTCCTGTCCCTTGGGGTTCTCCAGCCAGTGAGGAGGCCAGCTGGCTTTGATGCTGGGGCGGTCCTTCAGCAGAGCGTAGTACTCTCCCAGTTTGGGGTAACGCTCAGCAGACAGCCTGCAGACCAGAAAGAAGATAAAGTTGAAATCTAATGCTACCTCCGCTCCGCCTCCTAAACAAGGCCCGGCCCCCCCACTGACACTTTACCTCAGCCACATCATAGACTCTATGCATTACATTAATGCACACAATGTACAACAATATTTTGTATTACATCTGATTTTTATTCCATATTTTATTCCTCTATTCCACTCCATTGCAATGTAGATACTGTTATATTTGACTATATTATTTTTCTAGTTCTCTACCTGTGTTTTTAATTCTTGTTTTTATGCATCATGACACCAAGTCAAATTCCTCTTATTTGTAAACCTACCTGGTAATAAACCTGTTTCTGATTCTGATCACTTTTAGTGGTTTGTGCAACTTCTAGATAAATGCAACAGCGTTTTCCCACTTACCCAAACCGGAACAGAGTAGCAACAGTTGGAAAAACTGTCACATCGGCCAGAGAGAAGGAAGGTCCTGCCAGGTTAGAGGCCGAGCCCAGCTAGAAAGAGAGAGGTGACAGATAGCATGTTTCAACGAGACTATGCATGTTTTATTTTGTTTGTTGGTGTGTGTACTGTGCATGCTCTACCTTCTGCAGGTAGCCCTCCCAGAGCTGGAGTTCAGCGGTCAGAGCTTCCTTGTTTCTCTTCAGAGCCGAGTCATGCCTCTCTTCTTCAGGGACAAACCAGGTGTAGTAGATAACTGCGTCTAGAAAAAAACAACACATACATATTAAAGGAAAAGAGCTTTTCTGGGTGTATGAGCTTATTTCCCTCGAGTATTGCAAAAAGTGTAGCATTTACAAACACCAAAAATGTATTGTTTAAAATATAAAGTTCTTATTGTCAATATATCCAATGAACATTATAGTTGTTTTTTTAAGTTGACTTCATTTTTCGTAGACAGCTGGGCAAAACATTTTTAACAAACTTTACTCAAATAAGTGTTAGAAGAAGAATTTGTGTCCATGGTTTAACACACATTTGTTGCAGGGAGTATTCTCAGCATGGAGAAGTACACTGGCCTCAAAATAAACGATGTGCCCATGTTCATCCTAACAATTAAACGTCTTTTATTTGGATTTTCTGACAAATAAAAAATAGGCTAGATAATACAACTAATCTTACTTTGCTAAATCTGCCAGAAACTATTATCTTTGCTTGTATTAAAAGGGGATTTTAAGGGATTAAATGTGGGTCTTACTGAGTTGTTCGTAGAATGTGAGACCCTCAAACATGCGCTGGTACATCAGAGCTTGTTCTGCAGCGCCGTCTGGGATCAGTTTGGTTCCCTGAGACTTAAACTGACTCTGCCATTCAGAAAGAAAAGACACATCGTCGATGCCACATATCATAATGTTGGAATTAGTGTGTA